TTATCCCCACTCCTCGTTCCAACTTTTGTATCATTTCTCCTCCTAGCTACCCCTCTTTCCTGAAAATGTCTACATTTTTTGTAAGGTCAAATGGCAGCGATGGGATAATGGTGGGTTATGCACACAGAAGACATCTCATGCACAGTCCTCTCCCCATTGCACTCCAAAAGCCTTTCCTGAGTGTCAGAGTACCCTCATGTGAGAATGGGCGTGAGGAATTACAGTTGGAAGGGGACTGCCTGAATGCTTCTTGGCACACAACAGGCACCATATGATTATTATGATTATGTCCTTAAATTTGTACAATGTTGAGGATTATTGCTTGAAATCTCTTTCAAAAACCATATGTAGGTACTTATGCAGTACTTCAGCAAGTTCTGTCCCAAAATTTGTACAATGATTCCTGAAGGATTTTTTTTGGCGTAGGCTTCGTATTTCCAAGTCACAATCTATTTTTGGACAGATGGAAGCATACAGCTCCCATGTTGCTTCACAATACTGTACCCAGTCAAGTTTCAGAGTTATACTGGCAGCCTGATGTTACCCTGATATAAAGCTAATAATACCCCCTTCTCCCTCATTACAACAAAGAAATTATATTTATTCTTCGCAATCATTCTACAGTACAATGGGAATGTAATATAAATGTAGGGAATGTAAATATTTAGCCATCAAAGAGGCCTGCCTAGCATCGTATGTCTATTCATATGGAAGAAGGCTGGAATTGGATCCATTTGCTCCAGCATTCAGCTGGAACCAGCTTCTTTTAAACATATTCTCACTTTACTGTACACCACAAGAACATGTATGACTGGATTGATGGGAGCACAGTCAAGATCAGTCAACATTTTGACAATGACATGGAAGCACTTTATTTGGCAGTATCTGTGTGCACTGAAGCCTTGATCTGGATTGAGATCTCCTATTATACAGCATTAAACATGTTGAGGGAAATCTTATCAAATTGAATCTTCACCTATGAATATCAATGATATTCTAAATTTTTCAGAGGGCCAAATCTCCCCTCTGGGCAAGATATAACAGGCAAATGAATGTCATTAAAAATCTTCTATTTCATCCCACTGCCTGGAAAGCTTCAGCTCTGAGGCAGTAGAAAAATGAAATAAATAAATAAATAAATAAGGTTATCAGTTAAACATTTTGAAATCAACTGATTAGAAATAGTATTTGGTATAATTACAATTATTACTTGGAAAATCATTGGAAAACCATTAAGAAATATAGATGGCTTAGAAAAGGGGTCCCTAAACCTTTTGGGCTGACAGGCATATTTTGAATTTTAAGTATGTTGTGGGTCTTCTCACAAATGGGCTGCAATAGATAACCTATCATCCATTTTCACAGAGCAGAAACTGATGAAGCTCAGACAATTAACTTGGATCTAAGATCTATGTCCTCACAAAGCAAATATCCATTTCACATAAGGCAAGCTGGTGATGCTCAGAAAAACATAGACAGAAAAAACAACCATATCAAACACACAAAAAACCAACACATTACTTTGCAAAATGTGAGCTGTGCAAAGAAAAAAAAACAGTTAAAAAGTAAGAACATTTTTTTACTAAATTAAAAATAAGGCAAATAAGTCAAAAAGGTGACCATGGGTACCATGTTGGCAACCCCAAGTTTAGGACACCTCTGAAAACTCTCTTTTTCAGGGGGCAATTGGCTCTGATTAAAATCCAGTGAAAACTGTATGATGATATCAATTCTTTCAGTTTAGACCTAATATTTAATTACTTCTAATGTCCTGATCTTTCAAAAGTAAATCTGATGTTCTTAAGTAGCAAATACCACATTATATATCACTGCTAATTTAAAATAGTTCCTAAACAAAGAGGATTAGGCATTTGCCATAAACATCCATGACTGACAGCCAAGCAAAACAATCCTCAACTTGTCAGATGGGGAAATATGTCAAGAATTCAGTGCTGCATCCAGGCTGGAACATCAGCAGCTGACGTGGGAGAGAGGGGCAGTTTTGCTTCTAACAAGTAACTTCTTGTCTCTCTCTCAGATTCCCTCTGCTCAATTCTAGGGGATTTCTGGGGAGCAGAGAAGCATTCCTACTCAGAATGCTGTTACAAGTCCTTCCACAGGCGCTAGGTTTACATTTGTGGGGACTTCTGTGAGTGAAATTGCCTCATGATGGAACACCCCATAAGTCCAACCCACACAGCAAACCCACTTGCTACAGGCAACATATCTAGGAATTAAGAAAGTACTGCAATCTACCATTCATTTTGAAAGGCATCAGTGCAATATTTGCACCACTACCAATGCAACATCACAAATTCAGGTAAATGTTGGTGGAGAGTACACTGGTAGAACAACTCAGAACAGTGCAAGTATCAGAAGGGAGATTAATGGGAACACCCAATAGAATCCAAGGCATAATCCCATCCGTATCAAGAGGACTTCAGACCTCCTCATACCATCTATTCTGAACATAAAAACAAGACTTAACTAAAAACTAGAACACCAAGATTAAAGCCCCTATCATTTTATCTGATATCTTGCCTCAGGGGAGATGTTTCTTTCATTTCCATGACACGCCTTTACAGTTTTATTAACTCACACAGTTTCTAATAATTTTATGTAAGCTACTTTTTGAGGTTTGTCTGCAAAGTTGTATGTAGTACTCTAAATAATCATGGGATGACATGGCAAAGAAAATGCTATTTCACATGCTGATCAAAAAGACCAATATTGAAGCAGACAATGCTCAAAGATTATAAAAGGAAGGATAGGATACAGAGTATGATGCAATCCAAACAAAGGGCTCCTACATCTACTACCAAAGTCTACCATACAAGGCTAGTACAACAGCAAGTTTCAGCCAGCATTCAGAATCAGATGGTAAGAGCTGTTCTACCTGCTAACCTATAATTCTTGTTAAAGTTAATTTACATGGAATAATTAAGTAAAGAAATATATCATTTGAAATTATGTATTGGCTAGTATTGGAAAGATACTAAACAAGACCTGAAAATAGTCCAATAATCAATATTATTCAGGAGCATGAAATTTATATTATGAATGTATCACACTTTACACATTTGTTACACTATTCGGATTATTCCCAGAACCACTTAAAACATTTTTTCTGCAACAGATATTCCCTAAAAGCTATCCAGGAAAAAAAATGTCAAGGAAAGACAGGTGAAGGGTACGGCAAAGGTACTGGACAAGGCAAGAGAAAGAATGCAAGTTTCAGTGGTGCCAAAAGGTAATGGAGAATTAGACTGCATTTATATTAGTAATCAATACAAGTGCTTAAAAGCAGAGCCCCACAAATCGTATTATTTAAGCCTTACAGGTTTTGTTATATTTAAAAGATTGGTAAATGTAAACTTTTGTAGTTTGTCATTCAGCTTTACAGGGATCTCAGATTCAGCATTTAGAGTACTGTGAACAAGCTTCTATTTTATTAACAGTTCCCAGATGGAGCCCTGTCAATAGACATTTTATATTCCACCTGCAGATCTAGCTGTTACTCAAGCTTTTATTTGACAGTAACATTTTTACAACACAGCCTGCAGGCAGACACGAGGCTGCTGCTCTGATGACAGCACTAGTAAGGTTGCCAAATGTCATAAATCAAAATTGCTACTTTAAAAAAAAGGTAAGTCAGAGTCCATCTTGAGTGGTCAATTCTGTTTTTGGTCCCAGAAAATATTAAGACACAAACTTGGTGCACTGCAATTAATGAAACAATTTATTCTCGCACTCTTGTCCCAGAAGTGTCAAATGTCTCTGAAAGTAATTCATTTCAGAGATCATCTTGCTTTGAACCCCAAAGGCTTGTAGCAAGGTGATGAGAAGAACCATTTTTCTATCAATAACTACTAGAGTAAAGCTAGGTTTGTGTGTGTTCATTTTCAGCTTCCTGAAAATGCTGGTTTCATATTAAGAAACAAGTTTCTAGTTCTTCAACCTCAAAGTTTGCAGGTAAAGCCTCTTGAAATTTGAGGAGCCACCAAAGCAGCAGATCATGATTTCCATGGGTTAGGACAGAGCTCTATGTTCTGCTTAATTACCTGCCACTTAGTCACAAATAGTAATCCAGAATAAAGAATGAAAAACAAGCAGATGCACACATTCATTATTTGTCTCCAGTATCTGGAATCATGGGAAATCACATTTCTTTCCCAAACAAACAAATGCTAAATAACTGTTCTTCCCAAGGTGAGTGCAGTGCCTGCAGGACCAGTCCCTGTTATCATCTCTTTACTGTTCCCTCCCCTTACATGGCAGGGAATAGAGAGAGAAAGACCTCCCAGATGCCCAGACAGCTTTCCCTTTTTATGAAATGGAAATTGCTCAGATAGGAATAGCCAAGATGGAAAATTAATATGCAAAGTTGAATCAGACTACTGTTAAATCTAGCAGTATCTAAATCTAAATCTCTATGCAGAGTGCAACTCGAATATACAACTATGGCTTTTCCATATTATGCCCCTGTGTGTAGCTACACACATATCAAGAGTGGAAAGGATTGGAAAGAGGAGGGGACTGAATGGAGGTAAGCAATAAGGATCTACTGTGCCATAGAGGGAATCACTCTGCTCATTGGTGCTCCACCTGCAGTAGAAAGGATCACACTCTAATAATTTTTTTTAGGAATGTAATGAATTTACTATATAGTTTATTCTCTTTGCACAATTTGGGCTTGATTTTTTGTTCTCCTTGGCTTAAGATCTAATCTTCATTAAGGTGCATAAATGATTCAGCTTATTAGTTTATATTAACAAGTTAATCTGTTTATCAGGCTTGTTAAATGCCCTCCAATTATAATCTATCCTTTTGTACCACATTAATCATGGTTGAGAGTATACTGTTTCAAAAACTGGTAAACCACTTAGAAAGGCTGTACACCTGGGTAGTATACAAATGCTTAAAATACAGAAACAATAAACACTGTTATGCACAGAAGCTGCTGTAATCTCCTACACCAAGCTGGCCACAGTAATACATACCTTAATAGCCTACAAAAACTTCTTCTATAGCTGAGCCTCTGGCTAGCTGCAGCCACACTGGGTGGAAATGGAGGGCGTGATGGGAAGTAGGCTAGTGCTGCACAGAATATCAGAGCCACAATGCCAAATTCTAAGGGGATACAATTAAGAAAAAAAAACCAAAGTGAGAAATAAATCATGATAGATGATATGCGTATTCATAAAATATCACAGGAACAGGAAAAAATATTGATCCACAGGAAAAATTATTCTCCAATGGGATACTGTGGGAACAGCAGAGAATGATACCCAGAAATATGTAATGGCTAACTGAAATGTATGGATGGAACAAGCAAGCGCTGCTTGTTCACAGGGTCCCTCTGCCTTTGCTTCATGGCCACTGTAAAGCCAGGCTGCTGAGATTAACTTGAAATTCATGTACGGAAGGCAGCAAGTACCTGTGCAGTCTCATTTGCTTTTTGGCTGAGAGATGCAGAATGTGCCAGCCTGAAGGAGACAAGCATCAGGAACACCCCCATAGATGCCTTCCATTGATACTGAAATGGAAACTGCAGGAAAACCATTCCAAGTAAAAGAAACTGCAGGGAGGTGGATTCCTGAATGGATTGTTAGGTGTGGACTTGAAGTGATGTGTCAAACAAGAGGCAGAAAGCTGTCTAATATTCAGATTGAGTCTAGCTGACAACTTAGATACATAAGTTAAATTTTGAAGGTGCTGCCAATATTAGCACACAAACTAAATTTAAGAAAGGATGTACCAGCAGGTAGCAACATACCAGAAGATGAAATATAGAGGTGCATTTGATGAATAAAGGTAAGAGTCATGGTCTGAGTTAAAATGAAAGAAAACATCTGAGAAGAATCCAAGCAGAAGACCAGCTCTCTGGGACAGATTAATATGGCTCTTAGTCTAATGTCCTGAGTTTGACAGGACAAATCACTGGATGCTTCAGATGAAACATACACAACAATGAGATGCAGAAGAACATCCCATTTCTGTTGTTCACTTACAGCCAGAAGTAGCCTTCAGGGCACACCAGGAATACATAGCCATTTTTTAAAGGGTAGGCCCAGCCTCCCTAGTTGTGTTCTTAGCAGCAAACAGATATATTAGAAAATAAAAACATTTGCCTTTTAAAGTAAAAGATTTTACAATGTGGATAAGAGATCATGTCCTTGAGTTACTGGCCCTGCAGCTATTTCTAGTTCTAGTTTCTGCTTGTGGCACACAGTACTAATCTTAGCTTTGATGGCTTTTTAGCAGATAAGGCAGGATATAAATATTAATAAAAGAGTCAATGATTTGGTAGCAGTGACTTTCATATTATCTTTGGAGGGAGTACCTTCATTTTAAGTTAAAATCCCATCCCTGCTTGCAGCTTCCCATATTCAAACATATGAGTTGAGTCCTGACAAAGAGAATTGTGCTATACAAAACACATAGAGTATCTGGTCAGCTCACAGGTTTAAATAGGGCATCATTCAAGAAAAGCAGTGTTCCAACTCAAAAGTTTTCAAGAAGTATCCAACAAACTGCTTATGAGAAATCCATTATTTGAATCAGCCTTACCCACTTAGTGGTAACAGAATGATCTCAAGCAGCCACTCACAGGGGCATTGACATATAACCTCCTTTCCATGCCAAAACTTGGCTCAATTTCCTTCTGTACTCAGCTCTAAGATTCAAGGTCACCCAAATGTCTTATAAAATTAGCTTTCTTTTTTATGTTATATATAACCATTGTGTGACTATCAGGGAGGAATAAGGGTATGCAGTAAGAAACCCTTCCTGAAGATGTCAATATGACTAGGCACTCATCATTTTAGCTATCTCTCACCATCCAAATATATTGGGGTGGGGGGGACAACACACAATTTTTCCATTAAAAAAAAAAATCAGAATCATTCATTTATTGTGAATTTCACAAAGGCAAAGGCAAAGGCACCAGTGGGGGGCACCCTGAATTTAACAATTCATGATATACAAATATCCAAATAACATAACAAATCCAGAAGCATCAGCCATATATTAGTTTCAACAATGGCAAACAAATAATCATATATGTGTTCATTAGAGGATATTATTTGTTGATTGCCCCTTCACATATTGAAAGCATTGTTAAGTCTTCAATTCATTGCATTATAGGATGTGAGCTTCTATCTTTCCAGTGTTGGAGCATCAGTCTTTTAGCTATCAAAAGGTCATAGAAAATCTATTTACATTAAGCAAGCTTTAACTTCCAAGAATCAGGTAGCTAATTTAAAAGCACATATAAATCAGAAAGTATTAAGGGGCATTCTAATACAAAGTTTATCTGATTTATAACTTCTACCTAAGAAGCAACCACTGAATATTGCTAAAGGAAGCATTAGCAGCATCACACTTCCAGCAGTTAGTTAAGACAAAGGAGACATTGTGGCATCCCTGATGTACACGTTTTTGTCAAATAAGACATACGTAATCTGATATCCACTAAAACTTCAGATATCAACTCTAATGTGGCAATCCACTGTTGTACCAAATAGGCATTCTCCCATTAGACATAAAATATCATATTTATTCACCCATAATGAATATTTGTAGACACAGATCATGGTTCACTTTATCAGCCTTAACAAGTGGTTTCAATAACTGAGAAGACTCAGCGAAGAATGCTGCAGGGTCAAATATTGATCCTAGCAAATGTTGCAACTGTAGATACTTAGCTGCTTTGGTCAAATTGAATTTAGCACACAAATCAGAAAATAACAAAAACTCTTCATCTTCCATTACTAATTGATCACAAGTAAAAAAAAAAAAAAAAACAACTTGTCTATCCACAAGAACTTTTCCAAGGTTTAAATCTGGATTTTGTCAAAAAGTCAATTTAGCATGCAAAAATGTGTTACACTATCACAATGACATAACATTGTGAGCCACATGTTTTGAGTTACCCATAACAGTAGCAAGAGCCTTATTCATTTCAATATTCTGGGACCCTAATGCCATCTACAGTGGTACCTCAGCTCACGAACACCTCAGTTCATGACCAAATTGGGTCACGAACAAAAATTTCATGAAAATTCTGACTCAGGTTGTGAAGACCCGAGTGGGGACATGGCTGTAATCGTGCTGGGGGCAGGGGGGAGGGGGAGATGGCCGAGATCACTCCTGTCTTTCCTGCAGGAGTGCAACCGTGATCTAGGCCATCTCCCCGCCCAGCACGATTGCGGCCATCTCCACCCCCAGCACACCTGCGTTCGTGCCTGTCTCTTCCCGCCCAGCGCGCCCACAATCACACCTGTCTCTCCCCCCCCCGCCTGGATGATGGGCTTGATTGCGGTCATTCTGGGGGGGTGGGGGGGTGGCCACGCTCATGCTTGGCGTGGGGGGGTGGAGGTGGCTGCGATCTTTGTTGTTCTTTGTCACTTTGCTTCACATTTTTCTGATTAAAAAAATAGTTACAGAACAGATTTACCTAATTTACATTGAACCTTATAGGGAAATTTAACTTGGCTCATGACCAATTTGGGTCATGACCAGAGTCCTGGAACAGATTAAGTTCATGAGCCAAGGTACCACTGCACTTGAATATCAGATTCAGAAAAAAATATTTTTGCAAAATTACCATGGTGGAAAAATCTAATCTTAGCAGAAAAGACCAGAGTTAAGTGCAGGTCAGCAAACAGGCCCAACTGATATAATACAAGTTCCAGGAAATCGAATCTACCTTCCTCAATTATAAAGGTGTAACCTTTTCAAAGATATTTGTGGGAAAGAGTAATCCTCCCAAAATTTTCAGAACAAAGAGCTAAGTTTTTGAAAATATGTGCCACATATACTTAAAGGAATTTCATGTAACACATATACAATCCTAGGTATATTCATCTTCAGTGTACTAACCTTTCCCCACAAACTTTAAAGATACCAAGCTGCCTAGATCCTGTGAATCTCATAGCTCAAGTGATTAAGCTTATTTAAGTTTAGCTTAATCACTTGCAATATATTGCTGGAAATGAGTATTCCCAAATAAGTAATAAGCTCCAGGCACCACCACTGAAACGGTTAACTGGCTAACATGCTATGACAAGTAATATCTCCAATTGGCTTCAATTCAGACTTTGATCACTTAACTAAAAAGAAGGCAGTCTACTAAAACCACTGATCAACAGCATCAAAATGGAAATAGCCACCTAGAGTTGTGAAATAAACGATAACAAATAATAGGTGTAAATTATAATTTTGAATTCTATACAATTATGAACAAACTCATGAATACAAATATGCTGATACTAATATACTAATTTATACCTATAAATACTAAATTACTAATATTAGACTCATGGGGTCTAATAGCACATCAGGGATTCCAAATATGAGTCAAAGTATTGATGGAGAAAGAGAGCAACTCCATCTAGTCTCTCTCCCAACTGCTGAAAAGAATCCATTGGTTCTAACTCTGGTTTTTGAGAATATTTAACAAAGAAACCAAAATTTATCAGTGTTACAAAAATAAATTCCAAGGAATGTTATCAAAGGCCTTTTCGGCATCCAAAGGTGGCTTTCTCTGGTCTAAGTTTAACCATTAATTCAACCAATAATCTGAGGTTACTGGGCCTTTTATAAATGTTTAATACATCCAGCTTGATCTGGTCATACCAGTGTTGTAAGAACATGTTGCAGCCAAAATTGCAGACCTTTTTAAATACAAACATTAATGATAGAAATCAATAGATAGCACAAAAATATGAACCTTGTCAGGTTTGGAACTGATTGTAATATACACATCTTTTAAGAAAGCAGAGAGTTTGTAGGGATACAAAACAAGTAGCTTTGGAACTAGTCTAGAAAAAGTTTTATACCACTCTATTAGTACTGGAAAAGAGGGACATTTCTGATTGAAAACTTTAACTCCATTGAACTGTTTTGATGAGAAAAGTGCCACATGTCTGTTAAGCAAAGGATAAAATAGATGCAAATATGCTGGGATCAAGCTATGTTCAATTAAGTTATCAAGACTGTGAGGGTACATTAGTATGGAATGTAATTACCACAGACATTTGGTTGCAAAGTATCTGCCTGCACAACCAGTGCAGTATCAATTTTAGCCATGGTGAACTGATGCTGTGGTCAACTCATAATCATTTCACTGCTAGCAGCACTGAGCAGTTACAGTCAACTCTTTCATCTGAGAGCTTTATCATATCTTTTAAAACATTTGCCAGGTAGCAGAAGAATACATTTTAACCAGCTAATTGTTCAAGAGATTTGGAAACCACTCAGAAAAAACTCTTCTTGGAGAAAACCATTCATTTTTACACTAAGTTTCATTAAGTCATGTTACTTGGTCAACTGTTACAAAATTAAATCAAGTGTCATATTTTCTTTGTATGGTCCTATATACAAACATGTGCTATAGTGATTTTCATCTCTGGTCTCACTAATAAATGTATATTAAAAAGATTAGTTCTCCTTTCCGGGGGAATCAGCTTATGTCCTGGGACTCTAACTCAGAGATTTCTTTGGTACTCTAACCCAAACACTGCCTTGGGACTCAAATTCAAACATCACCATTTGGCTAGGATGGTATAAGGCAAGACCTGAACCTGCTACACACAGGACTTGAATCTGCATTCAGGACTCACTTCTTGGGCTCAAATCCAAGCATCACCATCTGGCCAGGACAGTGTTCCAAGTACTTGCAAGATTTTGAAACTTTGTTTGTAAACATATGAAAATCATATGTCCAATTTTGGCAAAGAAATCTGTTTAGATTGTGCTTTACCCATGTCCCTACCCTCTGGCTCATTAATAAAAAAAAGCTGCAGACCACATTTCATTCAAATACTGAATAATCTCTGCTTAGACTGTTGCCTCAGTTCCATCCTTGCATCACAGACACAGAGGAAGTGGAACGTACTGCTGTCTTCTTAAATGTTTTCATGTAGTTCTGAGGCTGCTTTTCTTAGCCTCAGATACACCAAAGCCTTAGATACACCAAAGCTTTTCTTAGCCTTAGATACACCAAAGACCAAATATTTTTGAGATGCGTGTGTGTTTGTGGGGCGGGGGGGGGATTGTAAAATTTAAAGTTTAAATACAGAGAACTGGAAACCAGCTGTGTACGCAGAGGGAACAAGTTATTTGGAGTTTATAATTCACATTTATTAAAATTACCATCTTGCTTTTCTTCTTAAATAATGAATAAAGTTTTCCATTTCATTTTCTAGAAATAATCCCACAAAGAGTATTCTAAATTCCTCTTGGATCTGCATATTAATTTGATGCAGCATTTCAAATATGGTCAAAATCGGCTAACACTTGTTCTTGTTTGGGTTGGTGTAAGTGAAGCTAGCATATAATATTTTTAAGAAGCAGTACTTCAAACAATATTTTATATGATTTGGTTTTAAAATGGTTATCTATCATGGATCTATAGAACTAGGCTGGATACAATCTATATAAAAACAAAATTATTTTGCTAGAAATTCTAATCTAATGTCCAATGAAACGCAAACCACAGAATCTTACACAACTTCTGGGTTTTACTATTATATGGAAACCCTGTGCTGGTATTGAAATACTGAGAAAGAGCAATATAACAGTGTTTTGTTTTTGTTTCAAACACACTAGCATTCTGGTAGAAAAATATCTGTTACGGAGATTATGTAAGTAGGAATTGATGTTAATTTTGAAATGACTGGTGTTATTCAGGGTGAATAAAATCACTAGCTGTACAGATGATATTTGGCACTTAAGATAAAGGGCAAATAATTCTGAATTTCATACTAATACATGTTTCCAGAGGAGTCACTAGAGGGCAGCAGCAAATACATAACGAATTCACACTTAAGTACGTAATATGCAATTACTTCTCTAATACCTGCATATAACACAGCCTCAATCCGGTCCTTTATATGTTCAGAGCTGCTTCCAGGTGCAAGTGGAATAGTTGATGTGCTATTCGGCCCTGGGACCAGCAAAGGTCCTACTAAAAATGCACACGCTCCGCCAAGGTAACCAATTAAGGATGCGACAGCTGTGGCAGTGGCACGTTCATCTGGTGAAAACCACGTCGTAGAAAGGAATGGGGCAGCACTACTGAAAGTTGGACCTGCCAATCCATTCAACAGCTGCCCTCCATGAATCAGCCTGGAAAGAAAGCACAAAAAAATACATTTACTTCCTATGTACCAACAACCTGATAATGCCCGAGAAATTATGCTACATGCTTGGCTTTTGAGACATTCAGAAATACCAAAGGATTGCCTGTGTTCTTGGGCATTTCCAAAGCCTGGCAGAAGCTAACTCTTTGTCTTTTCCTGAATCCTCACCATGTGACAGAAGACTCAAGGAGAAGGGGACGTAGCACCAGCTACAACTAATACCTGGGTAGGAAGACCAACCAACAATTCCAGATTCTTGATGATAATCTAAGAGATAACAGTGCAAGTTGCTTAATAATGGGATTATGAAACCTATGCTTGTTAGATGAAATTAATGAATAGAAACAGTGGAATCCTCTTGCCTGCTATTATTTAAAATGCTTTAAGTTCACTGTATTCAATTGATGTTTTTAAGAGGTTAAAAGATAGAGCAATGATAGGTTACAATTTGCTATGCTTATTTTTAAAATGCAAATTGGAATCCAGCTGCATTTAGTAAATGTAACAAATCACAACAGTGGAAGCTTCTGCATCACTCAGCTTTGCAAAAAGAAAGCTAGCAGCTCCTACACAGAGTAGGAAAAATACACTTTTGCCAAAGGGACTTCTTGTGGAGTGAATTTTATATGCATTTTATCATTATTTATGAATAAACTATTTCTACCCCAATATTTGGGAGGATGGGAAAATGACACATATCAACCCTTTAATAATAATTTGAAATATCAAACAGTCTTGAATTCTGACAATTATTCACCAGTACTGTATCCACTAGGGATTTTTTCTGTAGAAGCAGAGAAGATATGAGGAAATCTGAAAGTCTTATAATGTGCAGTTTAGGTAGAAGTGGATGTCACTGCTGAAGTAAGTTTAATGAGCAGGTAGAAAAAAATCCTTTTAGTTCTATGTTGTAAGTAAAACTACTCAAATCCTTGATTTCAGTAGTTTTATTTACAACATAGAACTAAAAGTGCAAAGCAGTACAAACCTTTAAAATTATTCAGGGAAGAGGGACCTCTTATCATGCCATTACATACCCGTTGTGGGAGATTTTAAATATCATATGGCAAGAACTCAGTTACAAACTAATAGAAAGACTAATACATTGTTAAAATTTATTTTCCATAAATTATGCAATTAAGGTATTTGGTAAGACAGATGGAACTCCAAGGGAAAGCTACTTTGTTGGCAAATTCCTTTATGTAGTTATTAATTTTACATGCTTAATATAAACTGGTATATAATGTCTTTCAGGTAAAGGTCCTCCTAAAGAAGTTTACAAAAATAATTAGCTCCGTATGCTTGACAGGAATATTATCTTTCCAAGTGATTTATAGGAATATCCACTTGCAATGCTTGCAGTCCAAGCTTCTAGTGATCTTTCCTTTACCCATCCTCCTCTGATCCATTCTTCCATGGCTACCCAAGTCATTGCCAGGCCCCCCGCAACCCTGGCTTAGATGGTAGTATGTCTTTGTCTGTCAAATTTTGTTTTAATGACAAATGTTTTTTGAATTTGACCAGCGCTACAGTTCAGGCAGGTTCTACAATATAGTATAATAGTATAGTAGACTGTATCAACTTTGTTTCCCAAAGCCCTTCACATAATTCAGCAGGTCAGAGCTGGGTCTACAAAATGGAGTGGTAACTGTTGCTGCCACAGCTCCCTGTAACCTAGGGATGAGCAACTGCAGGCCTGGGGTCCTAATCAGGCCCTCTTGGGTTCCTCAGAGTGCCCAGGTCCTCATCCCTTCCTCCCAGTGAACTACAATTTGATAATTCTTTGGCTTCTACACAGGCTTTTCATAAGCTAAAATACTGAAATGTCTCAACTATGGCTTGGTTAATGAAGGTAAAAATGTTTAGATATAATATGCTACTATATTTCATACCTTTCCCACCATCTCTGCCTCTGGGCATACCTACAGACACCACTGGGATGTGCCCCCCAAGAATTTCTCCAAAACCGAATTCAGCCCTTGAGCTCTGCTCTAACAAATCCAAGAATGATGGGTTGGGAGGGCGCTCTCTGCTATGTATCCAAGCACAATGAAGAGGCGCTCTACTGCTGCCTCCCACCTTTCTGGAGGCCTCAGGAGTGACTTCTGGTAACAGAGGGAGAAGGGGGTCTCAATGAAGTCCCGTATCTAGACATGATGGAGAGGTACCTGATCAATATGTCCTTTCCCTTTGATGGCTGTCTCAGTGAGAGGCCATACCATTTTTCTAGCACTAGCACTTCTGATATAAGATACCAGTATAATATTAAGTAGCCATATGCTCTTCTGGAACACAATGCGAATCTAAACCCCTAAACTCTTAACAAATTATTAAATATTTACAGTACTTTTGCAGGGACTGTCATATTGGCCTGCTCCCAATGCAGTCAATTATCTCCTATCTAATGCAATTCCCCAATAAGCTTAACCATGTACAGTTTAATTCATTATCTGCTCCATAATGGATGGCATGTCTCTAGGCGGATGTAGAGACATGAGGCTGTATTTCAGTGATGATTTAGAGAGCCAAAACTGGGAAAAGCAAAAGCACTTTGGACTGGAATCTGCAATCTCGGTGTAATTGCATTTTAGCAAAATACGATATTAACACAAAGCCTTAAATACCACTACACACAAAGCAAACAAACTCAGACTGCATTTTATGTGTCAACCAAAAACTGTATGACTAATGTGTGGAGCTGTATGATCATTTGTTGCACACTATACATGTAATTTACACTAACACTGTGTAATAAACAAAAGACAGAAAAGGTTGTATAAAGGCAAAACAGTAAAGTTTCAATGGCTTTCACCAAATTATTATAATCAGCAAATATAAGGAAATGACATACTGAAGAGCCCCATTTGTCATTGTTTTTGCAACATTAAATAAAGTACGTGATTAACAAATAGAAAAGAAAGACACCTTGAAAAAGAAAATGAACAGCTGTGCTACAAAGTCACTCATCAACTGATTTAAGAAACAAAGTAAGAATAGTGAAGAGTGATAAAGAAAGTAGCTTCTGCTGTCAGCTGAATTTTTGCATAAAGCCAAAACCAAAATAGACTGCCCCTAGTCTTCTTGAATGTATTGCAATAAACTCAGCCCAATCTACTTCACAGGGTTGTTGTTGTGGGGATAAGATTTGAGAGCAGCAGGAGGAGAATGTTGTAAGGTGCTTTGAGCTCTTTAAAAAAGAAAAAGTTTGGATATAAATCCAATAGTAAATAAATAAATAAAAGCAGCTGCTCCATTGCACTCCATACCAGGCCTGGTCCAAGTAGCAAAATACGTTTGCTTGTCCTCTGCCATATATTCTTGTGGCAACAGCATCAAACCCAGGCCTACTCAATTTTCCCTGGCCCCCATTATTTCCATTCAACACACTCAATAAACCAAACCAACCATGTTTTCTAACACTCTGTAATGTTTTGTGATTGAATTGTAATGATTTAATCATTTAGTGACTCCTACACCCAGTACGTCCATATATGCCAGCCCGCCCCCCTGAGATCTGTGGGAGAGGCCCTTCTCCAGGAACCCTCCATGAAGGAAATTAGGAGGGTGAGTACTCGGAGGAGGGCTTTCTCTGCGGTGGCGCCCAATCTATGGAATGAGCTCCCCAGAGAGGTCCGCCTGGCGCCGTCGTTATTTGCTTTTCTGCGCCAGGCAAAGACCTTTTTATTCAAATGTCATTTTAACTGTTAATAGTATTTATTTATTTTATTCTTTGGCCAGGGCGACTTAATTTATACTGTTAATTTATATTATTTTAAGGAAGTTTATTTATGTTTGTGAGCCGTCCCGAGGCTTCAGCGAATGGGGCGGCATAGAAGAGTCCTAAATAAATAAATAAATAAAATAATGACTGTACTGCACTCACAATTAATATGGTAAAGGAAAATATTAGGTGCATAAATTTAGTAGAATGTGTGGAACTAGATAACTGGAGGTGGATAATAATTTCCTCTCTCACCTATGTTGTATAGTCTTCATCAGTCCCTAAATCATTTCTGAGCTGAATTTACAGTACTGCTTTTAACCTTTAAAAACCTATACAAGCAGTCATTGGACCATCTTTTTCCCAATGGTTCATGCTTTTACTGAGATCAGCATCTAAGGCTCTTCTCCAGGGTCTCTTACTTTTTATTTTTTATGTGCAGTAGATGTAACTTCAGAGCAAGCCTTTTCCTGGAAGTTCCTCCCCTTTGGAATTCTCTTCTCATGGAAACTTGCTTTTTACTAATATTTAGGTGCCAAAGTGCAATAATGTAAAGTGTAATGTGCATTTGCCTTTAAATGTTGGTAAGTTTCAGAAGGGCAAGGGGGGTAAAAGAGGGGAATGAGTAAGTGAGGTCACTGGGAGTATGTGGATGGCACTTGGAAGGGTCTGAGGGGAGAGAAAGAGATACTTTCACTCAGTCAGAGTTGTGGTCTGTCAGCAGATACACACAGTTGGAGTCAGCCAGTGGTCTGCAGAAACTGAAGAGGCAGCCTTCCCTTTAGATAGAGAAGATACTGCTGTGGAAGGTATTTAGGATTCATAAGGAAAGGGAAGCAAATAGAATACATGGAGGACATATTAGTGACTAGCGAGAGTCAAAGCCTAATATTGTGAAGTACTGTAAGGCTGTGAGAGATTGAAGCTGACAGAAACCTGAGTGCAGAAGGGAAAGATTAAGCTGAGATAAATAAAATAAAAACTGGTCCAAGGACATTCAGGAGAGAAAGGAGGATGTGTGAGTGAGGAGTGTTTGTCAAGGGAAAGAGTATGATACTTCAGTCAAAAGTTATTATTATACAGTTTTATTTACTTAGAAATAAGTTACTGAACATCTTGAAACCAATATGCTTGTGGTACAATTGAAGTTTTACTTTGCTTATTGTTAACCCAGGGTCCTAAGCTGTTTGAATATCAGTGCCTCATGCTAGGAACCACACAGTCCAATGAAGAAGCCTTATAGCTTGGGGACAATACTGAGCGAG